AAAAAAAACAGATTAATTTCAAATGAATTTAATTCACAACAAATTCAACAATCATTTCAATAAACGATTTTTCTTTTAAATGGATAAATAAATAAATAAATGGATTTATTTTAGTAAATTAATATTAAATAATTATTAGTATTATATGCTCATTCGGATAAATATCATGATTTTAATTGGATATTACATGTTTATTCATTAGATGAGTATTCCTTTTTAAAAATCATACAAATTGTTTTTTAAAAACTTGTACACAAATAAGTAAATCAAAATCATTTATTAAATATTTATCATCAATGACTTTTTCAACAAAATCCTCATTATAGAATGATATTGAATTAAAAGGTATTTTATCGTATAAAACAATATCATCAATTCAATCAAATATAAATAATTCCTTATCACCACTAAATAATTTAACTCCAATGTTTATTCAATCATCAAATAAAACAAATGTATCAAGAAAATTATTTCAATCGAATACAACAGATCAATTAACAGTAAGATTTATTATTTGATTTATTTAATACAATATTATACATATCAATGAATATGATTTATTTTAATTAAAAAAAATTGTTTCCAAATTTTCATTAACGAAAATTTTTATTTTCAAAGAATTTTGTTCATAAATATTTAAAAACCATGAAATATTTAGTCCGATCTAATAGCAAGAAAAATTGGTCCCTTAGAATATTTTATTTTTCTTTTTTTCTGTATTTATCATGAAAAAAAACCAATGAGAAAACATTTGATAATATATATCATCGATTTAAAAAGAATTTATTTCTTTTTCATAATCGAGCTCGACAAAAATAAACCCATCTGAAATTCTATGAAATATGATAATTGTCGTCGATCTTTTCTAAAAGCTTGTCAAACAATGAAAATAATTCGATAAATAATAACCGTTTTAAAGTCTGTCTACGGCGAACACTTGTTTTTCTTTCTAGAGCACACTTTTTATAGTGGATATTAGAGAAAAATGACGATAATTTCCTATGGTGTCAATCTTTATTTTTAGACGTAGAACCCCTTGGAATTTAATTTAAGAAAGAAAAAAGTTGATTGAATTTGATTAAAATCGATTTGTTGAAAAAGATTTTGTTTTGAATGAAAATTTTCAATAAATAAGATTATCTTCTGATATTGAATTCGTTTAATTGATTTTATCAATATTCGATGAATATTTTTTTTTTCTCAAAAATTTTCAAAATCGAATTAACAAAAAAAAAACGAAGGAAAATATCTTGTCAAAGATTTTTATTTTTATTCAAACAAAATATTATTATAGAATAAACCAAAGACATTTTATTTGTCTTAGTTAACTAATTAAAATAAATCTTTATTAATATAATATCAATTTAATTAAATATTTCGTTTAAGAAAAAAATATTTTTTTTTTTAAAAAGTTGAATAGAATTTTAGAAAACAAAAATTTTTTAATTTATCATTTGAATTAACTTTCATAATGAAAATAAATCATAGGAATTAATAGGATAAAAAGAAAAAAAAACAGACGATGTTGTTGTTTAGAATAAATTGACAATAAATCGAAGTAAATCAGATGGAATTGTTGAAAATAATGATAAAAAACGTATTAAATTAAGTCCATATACAATGTTTTATCGGAAATTGTATGAATATGTCTTATCTCATCTTGATCTTATTTGTTATCGTTTATATGGATCTCAATCAAATAAATTTGAAAGAATCATTTGGAATTTATTTGAAAATTATACTCAGTTATTATTTCGTTCACGATTAATTCAAGTATATAAATCAATGCCAAATTCGAAATTAAAAACAGTTCGAAGTGTTTTTATTCGTTCAATTAACAAATATGATTTTGTTGAAAATGAGATTTATATTCAATTAAAGATATTTATTCTTTTTTTTTTCTTCAAGATAAAAATTCATGTTTAACACCATCAAAGGATATATAATTGGTGATATAACTAGTTTTTATAAAGAAATATTTCTAAACATTCCGAATCTAGATAAAAATTTAAGAGAAAATCAATTAATTGATCTTCCTTATAGTAATAAAATATTTGAAAATATTAAATCAGGACATGTTAACGTAAATATATCTTCAATTAATTATTCATCAAATAAAATTCAAACAAATTCAACATCGAATGTTTTATCATCATCGATTCAAGTAGGTAACCTTTTGTTTTTTTCTTTTATTATTGATTAAATAATATCATCAAGATTTATTTCTTAAGAAAATAATATTGATTATTTATTGTCAATTGTATAAATAAGTATTTATTTAATATTATTTCTAATAAATATTGATCATGATAACTATATATTAATTATTATATTCAACAATAACAAATATATATACAAGTTATTTAATCGACAACGAATTAAAATATAGACGATATATCGATTCTTAACAAGATAATTCATTAAAAAACAAAAAGAAAAAAAAAACAGAAGTCGAATTCTCTATTGAATTTTTGATATAGAATTTTTCTTTTTAATAAAATCTACGTTGTAATTAAATCTTCGATTAGACTTGAAAATTTTTCATTAAAAAACTCTAGTCAAATGAATAAAATTTTAGTTGAATTAATCGAAATAGAATTTATTTATTAGATTCTTCTCTTTTATATAATATCAAACAAATAAGAATATTTGTCTACAATTAAATAAATATATAAGAACTATTTTTATATTTCGATCAATTTTATTTAACTTAATTGAATAATAAAATTTATTTATTTATTCAAACATTTGTTTTTTCTCTCATATTATGTAAATATATGAGATAAATAAATATTTAGTAAAATAGTTGTTAGTTGATCTATTCAAATAAACAAGTAATTAACATATTAAAAAATTAATAAAATAATAATATTATTTATAAAATTTATTAAATCTAATAGAATTGAAATCATATGAATCATATTGAAATTTTTTTCTTTTTTTTTTAAATAAATAAATTCTAGATGCAAATAATACAGTACGAACGACTCGAACTCGAACTGAAGATAGTAAATTTTTAACAACTATTTCAACAATATCAAAAATAAATAATTCAAATGAGAATCAAGATAATATTCTTATTAATAGAAATGAAAAAAATCTATTTTTTTGGTCAATTAACAAATAATTCTATTTAAGGAACATTTTCCGATGATTCAAATTCAAATTGTTTAACAAAAAAAGTTTTACAAATTGAAAAAGATCGACAAAAAATTGAAGAATATTGACTTTTTCTTTTTTTTTTGATTACTTTATATTTGACATTTATTAACAAATAAATATAAGAAAAAAAGAACAGTTTGCTAATTTAATATGTATGGATCGATTGTTTCAACATGAATAAGAACTTCAATCTGTCGTCTATCCGAAGAAAAAAATCAGCTGATTTAGTTGAAGAGTGATGAAGATATTGAAATTTTGGGGTGTGGGTGCTAGTTACAAAGGAGCACTCATGCCCACACCTACACCCAAGAGGAGATCAAGAAAATTTTTTTTGCCGTTTTATTCATACCTATTTTGTACCTTTATTACCATCTATACATTGTCCACGTGTTGGTTCAACTGGAGGAGGAGCATGTACTGATAAAACAATCGACTTTTATTATAATCAACCAAATTTTATGGCTTGTGCTCATAAACTATAATAATAAAATAAAATCATGTTCTTTTTTTTCAATTTAAACTTTAAATAATAAATTGATATCATTCATAAATAATTACGCGAAAAATAAGATGTAAAACTGATTTGGTAATTCGACTTGATAACTGTGCTTCTCTATTAACTTAACATTCAAATAATTGCTAATATATATGTATCTCTTTAAAATAATAAAAATACCCGAATCTTGAAATGTGAGGATGCTATTTGAATCTAATTTCAATATATTTATTTGTCAGTTGATCAAGATTTTCTACAAAGTACCTGTTGAGAAATAACTATGTGGAAAATAAATGTCATAAATTCAAAAAGACTTAGATCATTATATAATCATAGAAATCACAATTGTATAAGCAATGGTCATATCATGATACAAAATAAATGAAAGTTTCAATCATCTTTAAGAAAGTACAGTTGACAGTAGTGTCTTATTAGTTTCTGTAATTTCTTTTCTTTTTCATTATTCTATCATGTTGTATATGTGAATTGAAAAGAAGATTTTAAAAATGCTTTGATTTATTTTTGTTTCATTGAATGTTTTATCTTTTTTACTGAAAGTTTAAAAGAATTTGTTGAAGTAAAACTTTCTAACAATAAAGAAAAAATGTGGCTTTTTAACGGAAGTGAAGAAGTTACCATAACTAAGCTCGACCTTGCTTGAGGATCTTATCAGATAGTTTATTTATTTGTAATTCAAAAAAAGAATCCTAACAAGATATATCTTCAATTTTACACAAAGAATCTGTCCTCTGAGACTTTATGAACGAGTTACGTTGCATTCATATTTCAATTCTCATTACATGAAATAGTGAAGTGAATAAAAAATCATATTATAGAGTGTGTTGTACTGTATCTTTTCATCATAAAGACAAATTTTACAAGTATTTATTTCATAAAGAAAATTTTAATATTCAAATCGAATCAAGATTTCTGGTTTTTTCTTTATGCAACGAAAAAATAATTTAAGAAATCGTAATCACAAAAAGATGGTCTAAAGTGTACATGTTCTTTATTGTGTTTTCTGGATGAACTTGTATTTTTTTTGTTTTGTTTTAACAAGTAAAAAGCTTCTCGTGAATTTTCAGCTACAGTACTGAGTTTTAATGAGTAGTTTCGTAAAGAATAGAAAACAATTTATCAGCTTAGTTTCTGCTTTCCGCATTACAAGAATTCTTTATAGAATGTAAACAAATCTTTTTATAAAGTCGTTGCTAGTGGCATATCTAGAAATACGGATGATAACAAGAAAGACAAATACAACGATCAATGACAACAGCAACTATAACACCTTTGTCAGACACCAAAACAAAATAAAATTTGTGTGCACGAAACATGGATACACGAAATTCGTCACATTGAAAATGCAACATTAATTTTTCATCGTTTTAAGAGTTATTTTGATATCGATTTTACTTTAGAAATGTCTCTGAGCAGAACCTAAGAGATATATAGTTATCTTACAATGTGTAATAAATATATAGAGACAAAACTAGATAAGCTACATTTACAATAATGATATATCAATGTGAATAAGAACCAAAGAGAATATTTATTCGACGAAGGTTAATTCATCATTTCATCAAAAATTGATACAGAAACGAAGAATCATACTGTTATGAATAATTTCTAAGTCTTTTTTATTTTTATTTTCTGGATTTCTCTCTTGATTAGATATTCTTTAGAATTATTTCGGAGCAAAACTTTTATCGTTGACCCATTGAAAAAAATCCCTAAATATGTCTCATCATCAAGTGATGATAGTACAACATGAACAATTTAGTAATATGAGTTGAAGATTCTTATTTAAAATAAATATGTTCTAAAAACTCTGAATATCAGTCCTTAAAATTAGAATAACCAGTAAGAAAAAAATAAAATAATGAATAACAGTAATCTTTATTTCTTTGAAACTATCATCTATACCTGATAAATCATTACAAATAGTAATTATAAATTCAACTTCAATATCTTTATCATAAAGACTATTATTATGAATCAAGTGATATTTTCGAAAAGAATTGATGTATGAACACAAATATATGTTCGAAAATATTTTACAATAAAGCTCGTTTAGTAATTAATTGATGAAGAGCTTCATTAAAAACTCAAACATGTACATGTCTTGTAACGTGATTTAACATCAGATATACAATATCTAGATTGTTTTTTACAAATTAAACTAACTCTTTGGGATGGTGGAACGTGTTCACATAATTGTTGATCTTGAGGGTGTGACTTATAAAATGACAAAAAAAACCATTTGTGATGAATAAACCATACGAATTCTTTAATGTTGTTTGAAATTCATCGATGAAAATCGAGCTCTTAATTCATGAAAATAACATGATGAGAAGGATACAAAAAGAAAGACCTTGAATTCTGTAGAAAGGATTCAAATTTATTATCATGTGACTCAAATCGTACAAAACTAATGAAAGTAATGAAGAAATCTTAGTTTTCGAAAATAATCATCATTATACCATGAAAATGATGTCAAAGTAAAGAATGAAATTTCCTACATGGAAATTCAAACAATCACCATTGAAATGAATTGTTTTTGATTTTTTTTAGTCACTGAGTTACGGCTGTGAATGTGATGTAAATAGAATAAGTACATATTCATCGTCGACTGGCGATAAATTGATCGTCGATGAGAATGATTATCTCATCAATGATCAATTATCTATTAATCATTATCATTGAGTGATAGTTCATGTTTTTCAAACATCCTATATAAGGAATGATTTTCTTGTATAAAATCATTCAATTCAATCAATCTATTGTATCAACAATAGATTGAATAAGTATTCTAATAAATTGTTTTTGTTCAGAAGGTGCAAGATACAACTATTTACATAATTATGATATTTATACATTTACATATTATATATATTCCAATCTTAAATAGGGTATGTTGTTTTTTTTTCTCTAAAAAAGAGGAATAATGAAAAGTATTGAGTTTTGTTTTTTTTTTCGTATTGGGATAAAAAATTTATAAATAAGTTGAAAAGTTCTATTGGCCACTAGAACTTTTCAAGTTATTTTTTCGATAAGTTAGATATAATCTATTTCCTATGGAATAATGATTTTTTTTTCATTTTTCTTTCATACTTATGTTATTATATAGAGAAGGATAGATACTATCTTATATCACAGCCTGTTAGGTAGCTTCGTAACCTAACCCAGGGAGATTTCTTGTGCCTGTTATGGCGAAAGCAGTGTAGTACTCGGGAAGGCCGTCTGCTTGCAGGTCCCTCTCGTCGATATTGTACCATATACCTCCGATCATGTCCAAACAGTCCGGCGTGGTCCGCTCTGCGTGTACTCATATCGGACTTACAGGGAGTCTTCCTGGTCGCGCGCGCACGAAACCGGGAATGAGCCGAGAAAAACCGGAAAAGCGAAATGAATTGTAATGCAAATAAATTTATTAAGCAAATCGAAAACAAACAAACAAATTACATTTTCTTTTTTACATCGTTAAGGCACTGTCTATACAACTGTAAGTGTGGATGATTCGAGGGTAGTGAAAGTTGTGCAATTTCAACAGCACGTTGATAAAATTGACTTGCCTTTGAATATTTTTTCATTTTTTCATGTACCGAACCGAAGTTGTAATAGGAAACAGCCAATGAGGGATGATTCGAAGGCAGAGCTTTTTTTCGTATTTCAAGTGATTTTTCGTAAAATTCAAGTGCTTTCAAGTAGTCACCAAGTTCGCTGTACACTAGACCGATGTTGCTGTATGAAGTAGCCAATGAGGGATGATTCGAAGGCAGAGCTTTTTTTCTTATTTCAAGTGATTTTTCGTAAAATTCAAGCGCTTTGGAGTACTCACCCATGTCGCTGTACACTCCACCGATGTTGTTGTACGAAGCAGC